ATATTAAATGACAGATAGAATTTACGCGGCATTTCCCTTAAAAATATTGGTAGATTTTGTCACTGCGTTTTTATCTAGTCATGCGCACTCGCTATGACCGCGGAACAGTTTTCTACGTTTGGCGGGTTAGGTCCGTAGGGAGACATCTGTGAATTTTGTATAAACCATGCCACATATTCCGGCAGAAGGAGTGAAGTGTAATTGCCGCAAATCAAAATTTGTGCGGTTTCATCGCATAGAGCGTGGAGGATAAAAGAGCGAGTGTTTTCCAAACGCATCCGTTAAGTGACAGCCATTTTTTCGAAAGTGTAGCATACAATTTTGGCCAATCAAACTGTCATTGTGTTTGCACTTCATGCATGTCCTTCACAGAAGGCTATATTGACGTGCCTCTGGTTTTCTTAAAATAACCGTTGTGTTTGTAAGGTGATTACCACCGTTAGCTTATTTAATTTATTTACACTTTCGCGGATAAATAACTATGCTTTTAATGACAAAGTAGTTCATATGCGTAATGGGAGTCTGGCACATGTAGCAGCATATGGGATTGCACGAGTATATTCCATCGTCCATTTTCGCCAAACTATACTGATATTTTGTTTGGCATAATTACGTAAAGAAAATTTCTGTAAACGACAAGGACATTTTACTGAAGTTTGTGGATGGGTAAACGCAATGTTCAACGTTAAAGACGTCCTGAATTTCACGCATCGGTTTCCGTTTTCAAGTTTTCATGAGATAGGTCACGTACAATCGCGCTTTACTTTAAAACATTATTTAAAGTGATAATACATCAGGCTGTTCACGGCGCAGTCCATATCACCTGCCATCTAGGCGATCGTGCGCAACTTAACGGACGCCTACAGCAACCACTGACGAACTTATGGTCTTCATAAACCTTTTCGCCAAAACGGGCACAGCTATTAATTTATTGTTAAATCCATGAGTGAAAGACCACCAAAGTTTCTGACACCGACAGCAGAAAAGGAGTAGCTTTTCATTAGGGTCCCATTTCGAGGGGGCGCGCCAAATTAAGAGAGGTTTACATGAAGTACGTCGCCGATCACAATGTTAGCGTATCTGGAGCACCCACATTTTAACCAAATCATTATTTCACATTCAGGAGTTTCAACTACTTCTAGCCATCTACGAATCCTGCAAACACAAGACATTTCCATCCACTAGAGGGTTTATTGACGTCGACTGTCAAGCTGCGCATTTTTTAAACTCAGTTTCCGAGATACTGCGTGAAATGTAGCAAATGCCTAAGCAATACATCACAACGCAGCCATAAATGTATTTTGTCCAAATTAAGTGACAATTGACGGGATATATATGGACAGTCCGCCACTTGTTTCCGAATCAAAAAACCCTTTTAAAATTAAGTCATGTAGTAATCATTTTTTGAACCTTGAAAACAAGAGTCAATGTTTTATTCTTTTAATCAGATGCAGTTAAAGACGTCGAACCGTCTATTCACAAATTACACCTAATAGTACTTCTCCCGGGACTAAACCATCGTGCATGTAGTATCGGCTGACATACTTTGACAGCATTTTTAAAAGGGGCTGTTCATACATAAGTGATCCAGACATTTTAATCCTCGCAAAAATATTGTCCAAATTTCAGTAGGCGTCTGCTGTTCGTTTTGGTAAGTTATGCGCGCGCAAATTGGTTTGTGAATACCGTGATATTTTTTGCACTGGACAGCAAATTTCCATAGAACATACTCTCACCTTCTTTTCTAGACAGTTTTTGCTGGTTAACTGACTTCGTCAGTTCAGCGAACTCGTGAAGTTACCTCTTGATGCCACGAGAAGTCGTCAGTTGCAGGACCCAGCTTACACTGTCTTTGCTACGCAGAGTGGTGTTGTTTCGGTAAATTGGGCTAGCATCGGTCTGTTTCAGATCAAAAGGTTTATTTACAGAGGTCATGCAGCTATTGATTTCAGCGTTCAGAGTTTTATGTGTTTGAAATTGTACGCACATGCTGGTAATATCAGGACTTTTAACTGCTTATTAATGTTCAAACTGAAATCTATAAGCTTCGTTAAGCACTTACAATGGTATTAACCCAAAAACGGGGAAAGTAAAGTCCGGATCAGAAATGCTAAATTTTGCATGCAAAATCGTTGGATATCTGTACGTTGCTAAGCGAAGTACGGCATAATATAAATAATTTCTTAAAAATGTTTTTCATTCGTTTCCAAAGCATTCACTAAATTTTCGTCGAATATGTTACTTATATGGTATGTTGTTATATCACTCTGCAGGCATGATTCAAGAGCTCATCAGAATATAATGATTACCTACAAACGGTTTCCTCTATGAGTACTTTTAAAAACATATAAATATGAGAATTTTGCTCCTCAGTACGTACAGAATTTAGTTTAAGATCGGTCAATTAAAAATACACAAAACCATTATTCGCTGGTGTTTAAATGATATTTAGTAACGCGGTTGAGGCCGATGAATGTTAAAGCCACAGACTTATGTTTCTGTTCGCAGCTGGCATAGCGCAAGAGTTTAAGATTACAAGCTCGTAACTAGTAGCGTATGCAATAATCCTGATAATATCCATTTAAGGCCACCGAATGGAAACCTTTGCATTGTTAACGATTAACTTTTCCTTAATTTTGCAACAGCCTGCACATTTCGTGGATCTTCAATCTTTCACAGTCGAATGTGAAAGTGAAAATTTTGAAATCTGGTTCCCCTGCAAAGGAATCAGGGGATGACACCAGTTAAAGAGGTTTAAATCATTGCAAGCTATTAACACATGTCACAGGTCTAGACGGTAATAAAAACTAGGAGTTGACCGTTCAACATTGCCTTAGGCAATCACTTCTGTGTATAGTCTTTGCGAAAGTCGCATATCCATCCCATGCGCTAGTCGAAAATAACCTTGTATACACTTCCCCTAGTAATCTGTTTATCTAATGAAAAGTCGAACATACAATGGCAATTGCGATAATGCAAATTAAATTCCGTAATTATTGGCTACCTAAATGATATTATGTCTTTCATCTATAATGAATAGTCAAGGACGCATTACACGAACCACCCGAGTACCAAAAACCAGATAATTCTGACATATTGTGTCCTCACCTTTATAAAATTGACGCTTCCGCGCTCTCGTAATTGGATGAAATGTTATCAACGTCTTTCGTAAAAAAACACTGAAAAACTGTCTTGATTTTGCTTGCACTGGCAGATTTCGTCGTACCCTTACCATTTCTCGGAGATCGGGTTCCTGGCACTTGCGCATTTTTGCAAATAACTTCAGAGGATTGTAGCTCGAAGGCAGAATATGTCACCTTAATATTTATCCAAATATTCACCTGCTATGGAAGTCCACTTTTCGCCGTCTAGCCCCCTCCATAAAATTCCTGTTATATGATGACCTGGTTATTCTTCCTTGATTGCCGTCCAATGCTACGTTCTTGCCAATGGACATTTTAATTCGATGCTTGTCTAATCAGACAAACCAATGTATCCCGAAGAACGATATCAGCGAAATAAACGGCAATGCAGTGAACAAACGAAACGTTTGTTGAATTAAAATATCCTTGCAGCCATTCTCATTTTCGTTTTTCACGCCGTTTCATTATATGCGATTAATAGCACACTAACTGCCTTTTTACAGTAATTCATATACTCAGTTTCTACACACACACACACATACACACGGCAGTTCGACCACCGATTTCGATGTTGTCCTCCGTGTGCCCCACACACTGCATTGTGGGAGCAGGGACGGTGACTTACGCAGGGGTTTATAATGCCTGTAGATTTGCGTAGCATCTACCTACATTCTCTCCTCCTCGCTCGCCCAAGCCCGGTGTCAAGACAGAGTCAAGCAGACCGGAAACGAGGGAGGCCGCAGTTGGATGGCTCGCACGGATCCTCACCTAGGCGTTCCACCAGACCCCCTGGTCCACACAACAAATAACCAGTATTTTAACCAACACAACAGAAATTTGGAGGCCGACACGGCCGAAGCCTCACCTAGGCGTGCCGACGTCGCCTGACTCGGATCCCACACTATGGTGAGAGTGCCATAAAGGCCTCTAAAAAGGAGCCATTGCAGCCTGACTCTCAGACCGCCTCGAGTCAAGGAGGAGGTCCAAGGTACCCCGTCAGTTGGCAACCTTCCAAGCCACGGCTTTTAGCGCACCGTGATAGCTTCAAGCGCGTCAGATTGTTTATAGTGAGGAGAGAGTGCCCTGAGTCGTCGACCTCACTCTCCCTTCCCACTACCACACCCCAGCCGCTGTCCGAGCCGGTCAGCAGACTGTAGTGGGAAATGGGCGCGGTGGCTGTCATGGTCGACTGACCATGACTGCGCGCGCCACAGCACGGCCTGGCTCCCCATACACACAAACATCAGGATTTCACACAACGCGAGTTGAACGGCGTGCCCCTCACTTGCGTGAGGGTGCCGTGGAAGGTGCTGTTTCAGCCCGTCCCCAGCTCACCAGTCCGCCACTCCACATAACACACGCACAACGCAACGAGCTGCGTAAACCGAGAGCCGACGTCAATCAGCAACCTTCCTATCCAGGATGCTTGACGTGTCGGGATAGTCTCGGACTCAAGTCACCCCTGCAGACGAAGCCACTTTTGGACCGAGTCGAGATGCACACTTCCCACTTGCGTGGGTGGTGGCAGTTTGGTGCATGAGGTGTGTGAGTGTTGACGTCTGGTGGGGTGATGATGGTGATGGTTTTGGGGGGTAGGGCGTGAATGTGTAGTGTGGCCGGCGGTTGTCTACCGCAGGTCTTCGTGGATGTGCATGTGGCCGAATAGGCCCATGCGGTGTCTGAAGGTGCGAGGACAGTGTGGGCAGTTGAGTCGGGCTTGGTAGGTATAGGTTGGCGCGCCAGGCACTGGTTTGCCAGTCTCTGTGCGATGCATTCACAAGTGACCGACCAGGCCGATGCGCGAGGTGAATGTACGTGAACAGTGTGGGCATGAGAAGTCTGCGGTGGCAGTGCCAACTACGCAGGACGCGGTGATGGTGGTGGTGATCGCCGTGCGGGGCGATGGAGCGAGGGTGGGACTGGGCGTGGTGGGTGTGTTGGATGTGGTTGGTGTGTCGGAATTGTGGTCAATTCCGCTCTCGTGAATGCGCATGTGGCCGAATAGACCCATGCGATGACTGAAGATGCGAGGGCAGTGTGGACAGTGTGGGCAGTGGAGGCGAGTGCGGTGGGTGTAGGTTGGTGCTCAGGCACTGGTTCACCAGTCTCTGTGCGATGGATTCGCAAGTAACCGACCAGGCCGATGCGTGAGGTGAAGGTGCGGTCGCAGTGAGGGCAGGTGTAGTCCTGATCGTCATCGCTGGAGTCGGGGGAGGTGGTGATGGTGTCCGTTTTTGCGCGCGTGACAGTCGCCTGAGCGGCCGTCGTTGGGGCAGTGGAGGAGGATGAGAGTGGTGGTTCAGAAGAATTGTCAGAGTTAGGTGGCGGCGGAGAGGAGGAGGATTCGGCGGCGGGGGGACGATAATTGGTGCAGTTCGAGAGGCGCAGTTGATTCGAAGATGTCCAACAAGTCCGATTCGAGCCCGGAATGTCCGTTGACATCAAGGACACGTTGGAAGCGGTTGTGCGGCGGCGTTGCGTACTGGGCAAAGTTTTGATTTGCGGGCTTCGCGTTTCGCTTTGGCGGCAGCGATGCGGTTGGCTTCGTAGACCGCAGCGCCTGTCTTCACTGTCCTCCTCCATGTCGACCGATCGAGTGCGAATTCCTCCCAGTTGGTCGTGTTGATTTGTATGCGCTTCAGAGAGAACTTCAGAGTATCCATTAAACGGCGAATTTGGCCTCCTTGACGGCGAGAACCCGTCGCGACGTCTCCGTAGAAGAGTCGTTTCGGTAGTCGTTCGTCGTCCATGCGCACCAGGTGGTCGCTCCAGCGCAGCTGCATTTGTCTCAGTATGGCGTAGATCAGTATCAGTATCGGTTTATTAAGGGAAATATAGGCAAGCGCCTTTGAACTCCCTCTTGGTAACAAGTCGTCGGAGAAAAACATTGAGAAATGGGAAGGTGAAAAAGGGAGGCTGGATACCAGTGTGGCAACACTCCGATTCGCGGCGAATCAGAGTTTTGCGGCATTACAAATAAAGACCTATTGATTAATTTCAGTAGGCATGTTTGTTTAAAATACTGCTGTCTGCTGCTTTTCCCTTTGCATGCGCGTCTGTCGTGTCTTTCGAGGTATTGCTTGTGCTATTGGTGATACAATCACTCACCGCAATTTCTATTAGTAGTATTCGTTGCAGAGGTGGCTGCCCCACTGCGTGTCTATTTACGATATTGTTAGTAACTTTCTGTTGTCCGAATTAAGCGCATTGCTAAAAGTTGCACAGTCTGACGATAATGGTACTAGCAGTAATTAAATCAGTTTTACCTATACCATAACAGTTAATAATAAAAAATTGTCATAATAAGGAACTTTTTCCAACCGAATTTGAGTGTAAAATTGGAAGGAGACGTAATTTTGTACCAAATGGGCAATAAAGGCATATTTTTAGACATGTTTTCCATGAAATATAATTGAATCAATGCGGAAAATTCATGCTACTACATCAGTTGGTTAATTCATTGGCCAGTGTGTAGGCAGGTTAGGACAGAGCGTGATCATCTTAACAAAATGCCCACATTACACAGTCTCCGCTAACCCTTACCTAGGGTTCGATATGCCTCCCCATACACCATACTCTATACTGCATTTCTGTCCTACCTGTTCATAGACACACCATAATTAGTGAACTTGATTTACCTAATCAACCGCTTTCCGCCTCTACTTGACCTACCGCCATGGAAGTTGTATGCGTACGTGAACGGCGCAATGGCATCCATTGGCCATACCTACTATCGCGCACCCGATGCCTCTCTGCTGTTGCCTTTTTCAGAGAAAACTGCAAACCCTACGTCGTTAATTTCCTCCCGCCCAGCGCGCAAAACACACGCACTCCCACCAGCCCATTGGTCAGGCCTCTGGCCACTACGGCTTCCGCTCTAACGCGGCCAATAGCGTTAACGCATGATGCCCTAGGTACCCTCCAGGCTTCTCATGGGCTGCTTTTTCAGCGTGAAGGTCATATATGAGGTTCGTTTGATGCATTAAAACAGATTTTGGCGTAAATGTAATTTTTTAATTATCGCGCACTATATTACTTGCTGTTTGGCACGTTTGAGAGGCCCCACCCGTACAACCCCTCCTACCACCATTCCCGTAAGACAGGTGGACGGGGGAAAATGTGTTCTTCAGTGTTGCGACACTGTATTCACGCCTTTTAATCTTCCCGAAATTAAATTAAGACCATCGAATGCCTTCACTTCCCATTCTCGAGTATTGTTGCTCATGTTTGGTTTCATGAACGAGGCTAGTCGTTCAAACATTTCAATGTTCAAAGGCACTTTACTAGAAAATTTTAGGCACGGAAACTCTAAGTATCTCCTGCTCAGATAGAAGCTACCTAACTAATCTAAACTTTTTATGGGTTCGAAGACTAGAAGTTGACTTTTGTCTCCTCTTCCGCCTTAACATTTGTCAAAATCTCCCTCGGATTTCAGAAATTACCCCTAAAGGTCACCCATATAATCTTCGCAATTCTTCCCTGATTATACATCCTCCCGTTTTCTTCATCTTTAAGCGCTCTCTTTTTTCGCTTCCAGGTAAAATTCCCCCGGGCGTAACCCTCCAATAAATATAAGATCTTCCGATAATCTTCACACTTAAAGAAAGGATGCATAAAATACTGACACAATTCAACTATTAATTTCCTCATCCTTCCCGGACAACTTTCCCTACGACTCCAACAAAGTGCCAGCGGGAATTGAGAATGGTGCAAGTTAATTACCGTATTCGTTCAAATTCTCTACTTTGTGTGTACTATCGCTTCATAGAATCATTCATCATTAAGGTGAACTTTTTAGATTCTTAAGTTCATGCATTATGCTCCCAAAAGAATCCGATATCAATCCTGACAAATTCTCCGAAAGCAATAGCTTGCCTTGGTTGACGTGCGCGTCCTAAAGAACCTCGGTTTCGT